GTAAACAGGTTATGTACCTGAATCTCGAGACTAATACCTGGAGACAGGGGGTCGTCATTGCCATGGGTGCAGGGCACACCTATTGGGTCTTAATTCCTTATAACACTTTACTTTTTGTGCCAGGGTAAATTTAAAACCCTGAGAATAGTTTTGTATTTTCTCTGCAAATGCTGTTAATCCTTTGCCCATGGATGGTGGAAGCGTTTGAAGGTTGACTTATTATTTAAACAAGAATGCATGTAAAAACAATTGCTGCTCCACATCTGATATCTGCCAACTTGACCTATTCTCCCATGGCTAAAATACTGTGTGGAGCAAGAACCAATTTCCTCCATTATCAACCATGTACTGATCGGGAACAGATTGGACCAAGTTGTATAAATGAGTCTATCAAAAGCAGATCAGTGAATAAACTGAAACTACACAACAAAAATTCAGGCTATAAGCATGGCCATCCTTCATCAAGGAGAAGAATAGTAGACCAGAGTAAAAAATTAAGTGTTCATCATTGGTATGATGTATTTAGAGGATGGTCGCCTACCTGGACCTGTTGGCCATGTTTGCCCTGTGAAAAAGGAGCACTGACCCAAACTTTTGGGACTTCCAGACCGTCGAGGGGGCTTGCCCCTTGACATCTTGGTGGAGAACGTGGATGTTGTACCTGATCCAGCCCTTGAGATAAAGGGCATTGAATAGGGCAGTCAGTGCCCTTGGGGAGGGTCTTATAGTAAGGTAGCTCAAAGACAATCACAGATATGGATCCTGGGAAGCTTTTTGAATGGCTGCTGGAAAATCAATAGCAGCAGGCGGCCCAAGCGCAGGAGCAACAGAGCCAATTACTGCAGCAACTCACCAACAGCAGCGACAGGTGAACCAACAGCTGGAGCAACAATAACTGTTCAGGGAATGGGCCGCTCAGCAGCAGGCCCAACAGGACTTGTGTGGGTGTCATTGATGATTACCCCTTCCTCACAGCCCTGGAGATCTTCCCTTCACTCCACCCAGGAGATCACATGAGTTTTTGAGATTGGAAATCCTGTTTGGGGAGCAACTAACCAAATGCTGATCTTGTTCATTCAGGTCTGTGCCGTTATTGATTCCACAGCCAGGATCCGATTCACCTACCCAGAGAGGCTCCTTCCCCACCTTGCAGAGACTGGATGATACAAGATCCTGGGACATGCTCCCCTGCAGTAAAGGTGCTTCACCCCCTGCCTGAGGAATGGCCAAGCTATTTCCCGGGGGAGCTGAGTGCTCTGTGCACTCCTGAGGGATAAGCTCCTCCCGGACCTACTGTTTGCAGTTCACAAGGTGCCTCAGGCATCTACAGGCTTTTCACCTTTTGAGCTCCTTTATGGGCAACAACATTGGGGGATACTTGACCTCTTAAAAGAAAGCTAGGAAGAGCAGAGGTCCCGGGTCATGAGCACAGTACCCTACATGATGCAGCTCAGGGAGCGCCTGCAGAAGTTGGGAGAGTTTTCCTGGGCTAACCTCTTACAGGCCCAAGAGACACAAGCCCACTATTGTAACCAAGGGGCAAAGCTCCAAACTTTTGAGACGGGAGACCATGTGCTTTTCCTACTGCCCTCTAAAGAATCCAAGCTGTTAGTGAAGTGGCAAGGCCCGTGTGAAGTGGTGCAACGTGTTGGGCCAGTGGACTACGAACTGAGACTGACGGAGAGGAAGAGGGAGGTGTGGACGTATCGTGTAATCCTGTTGAAGTGGAAGACACAGGAAGGCCTGTTTGCCTCATACCCACTGGACCCAGAGTTGGCACCCTTAATCGAGGATTCCTTGGACATACCCCAGGTCACCATGGGAGAGGAGTTGGCCAGGAACAATGGGCAGAGTTACAGCAGTTGGTCCAGACCTTTCCACTCGTCCTATCTACCCAACCCTGATGAATTAGCATAGTCAACCCCACATCGCTACCCTACTAGGCCACAAGGTCCGAGACCAACATAGGCCGCTCCCCAAGATGTGTGTGGGGAAGTTCAGAAGGAACTCCAAATGATGATAGAAATGAGAGTCCCACAGCAAATGGAGAAGCCCCATTGTGCTTGTCCCAAAACTGGATAGGATCATTCGATTTTGCATTGATTTTTGTAAATTAAATGCTATATCACATTTCGTTGCCTACCCAATGCCTCAGGTCAACGAGTTGTTACAGAGGCTGGGCAACACAAGGTACATCTCCACTTTGGATTTGACAAAGGGATACTGGCAGATCCCCCTGACACCAACCTCTAAGGAGAAGAGTGCCTTCCCCACACCCTTTGGGCTATACCAGTTTATCACAATGCCCTTTGGGTTACATGGAGCCCCTTTCCAACAGTTGACAAACCAGCTGTTACACCCTCACCACCTATACGCAGCTGCATGAACAGATGACATAATGGTCTATAGCCAGATGTGGTAGGATCACCTCCAACACCAAGAAGCCATATTGAAAATGCTGGGTGAGGCGGGTCTTACAGCAAACCCAGGGGAATGTCATTTGGGATGCCATGAGGTGATCTACCTGGGGTACACGGTTGGACAGAGGACTCTGTGCCTGCTTGTAGACAAGGTACAAGCCTTGAAAGTGTGTAAAACCCCTACCACCAAGAAGCAGGTACGTCAGTCTTTGGGATTAGCGGGATACTACCGCTGCTTTGTGCCTGACTTTGCAACACGCGTGGCACCCCTGTCGGATCTAAGCAAGAGTTCGAAGAAGGGACGGTGGTCTCAGGAGTGTGAGAGAGCTTTCCAGACCTTGAAGGATTGTCTAACTAAGGCCCTGGTCTTGTTCCACCCAGATTTCTCGAAATGCTTCACCCTGCAGACCAACGCATCTGAGAGGGGACCAGGGGCCATACTGTCCCAGGAGGTGAAGGGAGAGGAACACCCTGTACTGTATATGAGTCACAAGCTGTTTCCACATAAACAGAAGTACTCGACCATAGAGAAGGAAGCGCTTGCAGTGAAATGGGTGGTTGACACATTAAGATATTATCTACCGGGGAACCCCTTTCAATTAGTAACCGACCATGCCCCATTAAGATGGTTGAACAGCATGAAGGAGACCAACACCAGGATCATGACATGGTACCTATCCTTGCAGCCGTATGATTTTAGCATGGCCCACTGGCTGGGAAAGACCCATATAAATGTGGAATTTTTCTCTCTGGTAAAGGAGGAGGAGACTGAGCCAGAGCAGAGGCCAGCCACCCATTTAAGGGGGAAGGTGTGTGACACTTTCTGGGTGTCTGGCTGGTGAGTCTTGCCCACATGCTCAGGGTTTAGCTGATCGCCATATTTGGGGTCGGGAAGGAATTTTCCTCCAGGGTAGGTTGGCAGAGACTCTGGAGGTTTTTCGCCTTCCTCTATAGCATGGGGTACAGATCACAGCTGGAGGATTCTCTGCATCTTGGGGTCTTCAAAGTATTGAAGGCTTCAATATCTGAGATATAGGTGAGAGGATTATTCTAGGAGGGGTGGGTGAGATTCTGTGGCCTGCACTGTGCAGGGGGTCGGACTAGATGATCATAATGGTCCCTTCTGACCTTAAAGTCTATGAGTGATGGGGTGTATCTACCCTGCACTAAGGAGCAGGGAGTTGCCCTGGCCCGGCTGGCCTAGCAGGCCCCGCCCCCACAGCCCTGCTGGGCATCCTCCCTGAGGATACAGGGTATAAAAGCCCAGAGAGCCACTCATTTGGGGCTGACCATCGGGGAGAGGGAACTCCGGCCCAAGCTCCAGAGCAGCCCCCACAGCCTCAGCTGCAGCCACCCGAGGCGCACCAGCCCCAGCAGCAGCTGCCTCAACCATGGTGACAGCCACAACTACAGCAGCTCCAGGAGTAGGCGCTCCGGCAGCAGTAGCAGCTGCTGCCTCAGTAGCCACAGCCCCTGCAACAGCCCCGGCCAGGGAGGCCATGCAGGAGGGCTTGACCTGCTGAGCAACACCCCGAGTGTTGAGCAGCACACCGGAAAGGGAAGGAAGTGGCCCAGGGCAGAGGACTGGCTGCCAGTGACAGCCACAACTACAGCAGCTCCAGGAGTAGGCGCTCCGGCAGCAGTAGCAGCTGCTGCCTCAGTAGCCACAGCCCCTGCAACAGCCCCGGCCAGGGAGGCCATGCAGGAGGGCTTGACCTGCTGAGCAACACCCCGAGTGTTGAGCAGCACACCGGAAAGGGAAGGAAGTGGCCCAGGGCAGAGGACTGGCTGCCAGGAGC